TTGGTAGCGCACGCTTTTAATCCCAGCACTCGGGAGGCAGAGGCAGGCGATCTCTGTGAGTTCGAGGCCAGCCTGGTCTCCAGACCAAGTGCCAGGACAGGCTCCAAAGCTACCCAGAGAAACCCTGTCTCGAAAAAAAACCAAAAAAAAAAAAAAGTTCACTATGGAGATTCAACAAGTATGAACTAGTTCTAACAGTAAATTAACTTGTTCCTCAAAATACTTAAATCCAGAAGAGATGGCTCAGTGGTTAAGAGCACTTACTTCACTTGTAGAGGATCCAGGTTAAATTCTCAGCATGCACTTGGCAGCTCATAACTTCCTACTACTCCATTTCCAGGGGATTCAATGCCCTCTTCTGACCTCCATGGGCACTGCATGTACATGCTGTGCACACACACATCCAGATAAAACACTCAAAAAATGAATATTAAAATTTTAAAATCCAAGTTCTTCAGAGTATGACAGATATTACCTGCCCCAGAGTCACAGAAGGAGCATGCTAAAAGTGTGTGTACAAAGCTCAACCTGGTGGCACAAGCCTATAATCCTAGTCCTTGGGAGATCAGGTGCTAAGGATCATCTTCAGTTACACAGCCTGGGCTACATGAGATCCTTTTCAAAAACAATAAAACTGTAGACACAAGAGGTGGACGTATAATCAGTAGTAGAGAGCTTGCCTCGAATGAGAAAGGTCATGAATTCAACCACCCCCCTTGAAAATAAAGACGCACAGTTAAATTAAAAAATATTAAAAATAAACTGGGCGTTGGTGGCGCACACCTTTAATCCCAGCACTCGGGAGGCAGAGACAGGCGATCTCTGTGAGTTCAAGGCCAGCCTGGTCTCCAGAAGGAGTGCCAGGACAGGCTCCAAAGCTACACAGAGAAACCCTGTCTCGAAAAACCAAAAAAAAAGTTCAAAAGAAAAAAAAAGTTCAAAAAAAATAGTAAAGATAAATAAATAAAAAACAAACTAAGGAATGGAATTGAATGGAGAGATGGCTTAGCTATTAAGTGCACTGGTTCAATTTCCAGCACCCACATGGTAGCTCAGTCAGTTTAAGGGGATCTGATGCCCTCTTCTGGCCAAAGGCACTAGGCACACACATATACATGCAGGCAAAATAACCCACAAATAATTCTTATTTTAAAAGGTAGTTATGTGAAGTCAATCTCAAATCAGACAAATCTCTGAAACAAACCCAAAATCAACATTTAATAAGCTCTACAGATGATTCATATCTTAAAATCTTAAAAGGTGTGTGTGTGTATGTGTGTGTGTGTGTGTGTGTGTGTGTGTGTGTGTGTGTGTGTGCATGTGTACACGCTAGAGCCACAGGCAATGTTACAGGCAACTGTAAGCCCCCAATGAGTTCCCATGGTGCTGGGAGCCCAACTTTGGTCATCTATAACAGTAATCAGTGAAGTTGGGCAGTGGTGGCACACGCCTTTAGTCCCAGCACCTGGGAGGTAGAGGTAGGCGGATCTCTGTGAGTTCAAGACCAGCCTGGTCTACAAGAGCTAGTTCCAGGATAGGCTCCAAAGCCACAGAGAAACCCTGTCTTCAAAAACCCCCCCAAAACAAAAAAAAGCAATCGGTGCTCTTAACCAGAGTCATCTCTCCAGTTTCTCAACATGTGGGTCACACCCCTTTACCAAACCTCTATCTCCAGAAATATTTACATTACAGATTCATAACAGTATTGTATGAGGTGGCAACAAAAATAATTTTATGTATCAACACAATATGAGGAGCTGTACGTATTAAACGGTTGAAGCATTATGAAGATGATTTTTTGGTTTTTGTATTTTTTTTTTGGTTTTTCAAGACAGGGTTTCTCTGTGTAGCTTTAGAGCCTATCCTGGCACTCATCTGGACACCGGGCTGGCCTCAAACTCACAGAGATTCGCCTGCCTCTACCTCCTGAGTGCTGGGATTAAAAGTGTGGGCCACCAACGCCTGGCATTGGTTTTTGTAGTTTTGGGACAAGGTTTCTCTGTGTAGTCCTAGCAGTCAGGGAACTCACTCTGCAGACCAGGCTAGCTCAGACTCACTCAGAGATCCATCTGCCTCTGCCTCCCAAGTGCTGGGATTAAGTGTGTGTGCCACCACTGCCCGGCTTTTAGATGATTCTTATTTGCTCAAGAGCCATTTATTGAACACACATTCTGCAAACAGGAAACAGAGATGAGCAAGTAAAAAATTAGATCTAAACTATGCTATGAAATGCAAAGGGTACATATAAAAATTGTCAAATTACTATTGACAAAATATTTCCTAGACTGCCTAAAAACGGCTGATTCAATACTCACTTTGTTTTAGATACTCCTCAGAAAGCAAAATTACGTAGAAAACAGCATTATTTAGAAGTGACTGTGTTTATTCATTTCCACTTATTTTAGTTCAAAACAAAAGGCAGGAGAATTGAGGGAATTTACAGATTATTCTCTGTACACAAATTCTAGAGAGCCAACTTTGTAACTTCAGTCCCTCAGCTAATAAGTCGGATACATTTGGATCTTTGGTTCCCTCTAAATGTCTCCCCTAACACAGGCTTTCACAAGAACACTGACTCTCCTGTGTCTTGTTATACTCTTAAGGGCCATAAGCAGTTATCTTCTTTACACCTAGTATCACTTAGTATCTCCATCAACCAAAACTCAAATTTTAATTTACTTCTTTGTAGACAGGGTTTCATTGTAAACTCATTATGTAAACCAGGCTCACCTTGAATGCAACAGCAATCCTCATGCCTCAGCCTAAGTGATGGGATTACAGGTATATGCCACCACACCCAGCCAAGCAATGGTGGTGCATGTCTTTAATCCCAACACTCAGAAGGCAAAGGAAAGCCCCCTAAATCCAAGGCCATCATGGTCTACAGAACGAGTTCGAAATAATTCATTCTCTCCAATTTCTTAGTAGGAAATAGCCCTAGGGAAAACCCCAAATTCAGCATTTCTCACATATACCCACCCATATATTAAATGTGCCCTTGTGTAACATCTGGTATCAGTCTTTACTACCCATTCCAAAGAATTTCTTGTCTAGATCATTGTCAAGATTCTAGCTAGTCTCCCTGCCTGCAGTCTCCTGATCCCTCCAAGTGTCCTAAGTCATCTTTCTGGATCACAAATCTGAATGTTTTTTTCCTTTTGATATAAAAACTCTTCAGAAGTTAGACTAGCTCAGTTGACCAAGTACTTGCCTACCATGCATGAAACCCCAGATTCCATCACCAGCTGCTTCAGAATATTTGTTTAACTATGCAAAGATGTGTTGCTGTTTTGCCTTGCCTGTCTAAGACACCCGATTGGGTCTAATAAAAAGCTGAAGGGCCAATAGTGAGGAGATATTGGCAGGACTTCCTGGCAGGGAAAGTTAGGAGGAAGAGGAATTGAGGGAGGGGGGCAGAGAACCACAGGCAGACAGACAGACACAGAGGAAGCAGGCATGTAAGACATACAGAATGAAAGGTAAAAAGCCATGAGACAAAATGTAGATGACCAGAAACAGGTTAAATTAAGTTATATAGTGGGACAAGGCTAATCGAAAGGCTGAGCACTAGTAATTAATAAGTCTCTGTGTCTTTATTTGGGAGCTGGTTGGCACCCCAAAGAAAATTCCAACTATAACCAGCACTATATAAATCTAGGAGTAGTGGTTCATGGCTATACCCCGATGTCAGGAGGCAGAAGCAGTAAGATCAGAAGTTCAAGGTCATCCTCAACACTATACAGGGTTTGAAGTCAACCTAAAGGAGACCCTTCAGGAAGGTCCTCTAATCTACAGGATGAAACCCAATCAATCCTTTGTTATAATCCACAATTCCTTTAAGGCAGTTCCAAAATCAATTCAAAAAGCTTTGAAATTTTAAGCCTTTTAGCAAGCTTGTCATGAAACATAACTCATTTAATTGTAGGATGTACCTACTCCATTAATGTATTAATTTCCATACAGAAACATTGTTTCATACTAAGTGTGTTAACCTAAACCCAGCTAGAGTACTACACAAGAGATTTTTCTAGGAAAAAGGAAAATTCCAATACTGCATCTCAAATCCGTAACACATCTAAACCTAATGGTTTCAGACTATTGAGCCTGTTAGTACATCTAATTTCCACCAATCACCTTACATGTCCTTTAGTTAAAGGGTTGTAGAAAGTGCACTGTGCTGGGAATATCATCCAACCCAGCAAGGTGATCATTCATCAAGAAACATGCTCCAGGACTTGCTTTACCGGGAAGCTTCCCAGACCTTCGCTCCATTATGCCCAACCATGGTACCCACCTCTACTGCTGAGGTTACATAGATTTCCCCTATTAAGACTGAATGAAATCCTGGGTATTTTATTCAGTCCTACCACAGTGCCCTCAATACTTGGGCCTATTAATGCATAACAAATGAAATAGCATAAGCCCAACACCTCCTAACACTTCCTTTCCAAGTTCGTTTCTTCATCCTCAAATCCAAGGATTTCCCCTAACCATGCAGGCCCCTCACAACTATTATCACTTACCGAGCTCCTCATCCCAATGCCATCGAGGGGCCTTCTTTTAGCCCAAGGTCTCCAATGTCTTTTATTATCATTCAATCGGTAGTTCTTTCTCCTAACCGAGAACAGGCCAATTCCCCTCTCCAAAGCAATCCATCCCAACCCCTATCTGACCACTCACTTGTCGAACTCTTCCGGACCAGGCCCTTCTACCCAAAAACACTTCTTACGGCGGGTTTTGCAGACCCCTTTTCTGTCTCTGTTAGTTCACCCCCTGCAGAAGCGCCTCAAACCTCCCTCGCAGCATCCCCTCCCCCAGCCCCTCGCTGCCGGCACCCCTCCCTTCTGCCTCCCCGTATCTCCGGCGGTGCAGCTTCTCTGGTAACCGTCTCCGGGGCCGGGGCTTTCACCTCTGAAACCTCTCAGCACTGCACCGTCCGAGCAGCTCAGGACCCCCGCCCGTGTCCCCAGATCTTCACCAGGGTGCGGCCTGCTGCTCACCTTGCTGGACGTCGCCGTTGCTGCCCCCGGGGATGGGCACGCTGAGCTGGCGCTCGGGCTCCGGCAGGCAGCGCAAGCAGAAGGAGTGCAGGCAGGGGAGCAGCTTGGGCTCCGCCTCACGCCGGCTCTGCAAGCTCTGCTGACACACCGCGCAGGTGTCCAGGAGCGAGGC